GGAGGGAGGGGGTTGAGGGAGGGGGAGGAAGGAAGAGGACGGAAGAAGAGGGAAGAGGAGGAGAAGGAGGAGGAGGGGAAGGAGGAGGCTGAGAAGGGAGGGGGAGGAGAGGAGGAGGAGGAAACGGAGGAGGAAGAGGAGGAGGAGGAGGATGAGGGAGAGGGGAGAGGAGGGAGGAGAGAGCAGGGAGGAGGAGGCAGGAGGAGGAGGCTCGCGAGCTGCCAGCTCGGCTGGAGTCGTGCGGCAGCGACCGCCTCTCGCTCCGGGCTGGAGTCCTCTTGTGCGAGCTTGGGGCCTGCCTCTCGCTCCGGGCCGGAGTCCTCTTGTGCGAGCTTGGGGCCGTCTTGGGACCTCGAGGGTCGATGTTCGAGGCTTTTTGCCATTCGGGGGGCCCCCTCGTCACCACGGCTGGACGCGGTCCGGAAAACTGGCCAGCTTGGACCCGGGAAGGGTCCGAGGATCGATTTCGAGCGGGTGTTGGCCCAGGGTGGCGCGAAGGGGGTGGCCTTCCAAGAAGCCAAGGGGGCTTTATTGGAGGGGCTAGCAACGCAGCTAGCAACGCTTTCCGTAATCAGAATCAGCCACTTCTGCGCAAGACGGTTTCACCATCAACTGGCGTTGTTAGTGTTTCTCTGCCAGCCGACCGCGCTTCGGGATGAAACGGAGCTTATGGGAACAAGTCCACTGGTTTGATGAAGAGGCGCCACCTGATCGTGAGCCAACAAACTATCATGATGTGAAAACTTGCCAAGGTTGTGGATTGCAACGCATGGCGTTCTCGGGAACGCCTGGAACAGGCGTGCCTTACGAGCCGTTCAAGGGCTACGCGCCCCCTTCGCAGAAAGATGCAATGGACGCAGAACTCCACGATCCGGCCACTGTCCGCAAGAGAATGACTATGCTGGCCAATCGTATCTTTAGTAAATACCCGACACTGGAGAGCAAGCTCTGGGGCAAATTGCCGCGGTAGTGTTTGGCCTCGGACTCCGCGCTGCGCTGCGCCCGCAGCCTTGGACTTAGAAGTGCGCGGGCACGATCCGCCCCGGAACGCTCCTCGTTTGGGATGGGCCGGCGTCGTCGTCGCCGCCGCCGTCGCAGGAGGGAGGCCGCGACCCTCGCCAGGGAGCTGGGCTTCACCGAGTTTATCCGCGAGGCGCGACCTGGGGAGCGGCCCGCCCGAGCCGCGCCATATCCAGGCTGTCCAACAGTTCGGCCAGGCGCCGCGGACGACCCGTGCGCGTCGCTGGGACCCTCTTGGGGCGACCAGCGTGCTTCGCGGGGGCTCCGTGCTGCGCACTGCCCAGCGCCTCGTTCGCCCGTCGTCGCTTTGCCCGGCGGCCAGAGCCTTGCCCGCTCCCAGCCAGCCAGCTAGCTCGCTTTGCTCCGCGCAGCGGACGACCCGCGTGCGTTGCTGGGACCCCTTCGGGGCGACCAGCGCGCGTCGCGGGGACTCCGTGCTGCGCTGCGCCCGCAGCCTTGGGCAGTGGAGTGCGCGGGCAAAGCGGGAGAAAAAAAACGGGAGGAAGCGGGGGCGATCCACGCGAGGGGGGTGCCGATATGGGCGTCGACATTCATACGCGTAGATTCCCCCGCGCGCAGATTCATGCACAATCAGACCCACTCGTACTCAGACTCACCCGCACTCATGCTCTCGTTGTCAGACCCATCGTTTTCTTCCGCGCTGCGTTCCCCGCCATGCATCGGCACGCCCCTCACGCTGTTCTTGGCCTCGCAGGGAGCTCCACCGAAGACGAGATTCACAATTGCGGCGCACTAAACTGCGTATGGTTGGGTCTTTCGCCAAGCTAGTTTACTTAACAGCGAAGACTGATAGATTTCAAGTGGTCTCAAAAGAGAGCATCATGACTCCCCAGGGAGGTTTGGGCAGATGCCGGACGGGTGCCGCGGAAAACCGGGGTTTTTTTTAGCCAACAGTAACGCACTTCGTGGTCTTCGAGTTCCCAGGACTCCAGTCCTGGGCATGATTTTGAATGCCCAGAGCCAGCTGTAGGCCCTTTCGTGGTCTTCGAGTTCCCAGAACTCCCCTGTTGGGCATGATTTTGAATGCCCGGAGCCAAATGTAGGCCACTTCGTGGTCTTCGATTTCCCAGAACTCCATTCCTGGGCATGATGTTGAATGCCCGGGGCCATCTGTAGGCAGCTTCGTGGTCTTCGAGTTGCCAGAAGTTCATTCCTGGGCATGATTTTGAATGCCTGGAGCCAACTGTAGGGCACTTCGTGTTCTTCGAGTTCCCAGAACTCCATGCCCGGGCCACATTTTGATTGCTGAGGCAGGCTGATGCTGAGGCTGAGGCAGGCTGAGGCTGAGGCAGGCTGAGGCCGAGGCTGAAGGAAGACTGAGGCTGAGGCTGAAGCAGGCTGAGGCTGCGGCCGAGGCAGGCTGAGGCCGAGGCTGAGGCAGGCTGATGCTGAGGCTGGTGCTGATGCGGGCTGAGGTTGAGGCAGCCTGAGGCTGAGGCCGAGGCTGAAGGCAGGCTGAGGCTGAGGCCGAGGCAGGCTGAGGCCGAGGCTGAGGCAGGCTGAGGCTGAGGCTGAGGCAGGCTGAGGCTGAGGCAGAGTGAGGCTGAGGCTGAGGGTGAGGCAGGCTGAGGCTGAGGCAGGCTGAGGCTGAGGCCGAGGCTGAAGGCAGACTACGGCTGAGGCTGAAGCAGGCTGAGGCTGAGGCTGAGGCAGGCTGAGGCTGAGGCTGATGCTGAGGCAGGCTGAGGCTGAGGCTGAGGCTCACAGGCTGAGGCTGAGGCGCGCTGAGGCCGAGGCTGAAAGCAGATTGAGGCTGAGGCTGAAGCAGGCTGAGGCAGACGCAGGCTGAGGCTGAGGCTGAGGCAGGCTGATGCTGAGGCAGGCTGAGGCTGCGGCTGAGGCTGATGCAGGCTGAGGCTGGGGCAGCCTGAGGCTGAGGCCGAGGCTGAAGGCAGACTGACTGAGGCTGAGGCTGAAGCAGGTTGAGGCTGAGGCTGAGGCAGGCTGAGGCTGAGGCTGAGGCAGGCTGATGCTGAGGCAGGCTGAGGCTGAGGCTGAGGCTGGTGCAGGCCGAGGCTGAAGCAGGCGGAGGCCGAGGCCGAGGCTGAAGGCAGACTGATGCTGAGGCTGAAGCAGGCTGAGGTTGAGGCTGAGGCAGGCTGAGGCTGATGCTGAGGCAGGCTGAGGCTGAAGCTGAGGTTGATGCAGGCTGAGGCTGTGGCAGGCTGAGGCCGAGGCTGAAGGCAGACAGAGGCTGAGGTTGATGCAGGCTGAGGCTGAGGCTGAGGCAGGCTGAGGCTGAGGCTGAGGCTGAGGCTGAGGCAGGCTGAGGCTGAGGCAGACTGAGGCTGAGGCTGAAGCTGAGGCAGGCCGATGCTGAGGCAAGCTGAGGCTGAGGCCGAGGTTGAGGCAGCCTGAGGCTGAGGCTGAGGTTGGCTGAGGCTGAGGCTGAGGCAGGCTTATTCTGAGGCTGAGGCTGAGGCAGGCTGAGGCTGAGGCTGAGGCTCACAGGCTGAGGCTGAGGCGCGCTGAGGCCGAGGCTGAAAGCAGATTGAGGCTGAGGCTGAAGCAGGCTGAGGCAGGCTGAGGCTGAGGCAGACTGAGGCTGAGGCTGAAGCTGAGGCAGGCCGATGCTGAGGCAAGCTGAGGCTGAGGCCGAGGTTGAGGCAGCCTGAGGCTGAGGCTGAGGTTGGCTGAGGCTGAGGCTGAGGCAGGCTTATTCTGAGGCTGAGGCTGAGGCAGGCTGGGGGTGAGGCAGGCTGAGGCTGAGGCTGAGGCTGATGCAGGCTGAGGCTGAGGCAGGCCGAGGCTGAGGCTGAGGCCGAAGGCTGACTGAAGCTGAGGCTGAAGCAGGCTGAGGCTGAGGGCTGAGGCAGGTTGAAGACAGGAGTGAGGGACCACCCCCTGCGCACTCCTTGTGACCCTGTCGCGTGGAGGAAGTGCCACGCCTGCCACTCCCAACGACCCTAAGACGGATAGAGACAGGAGTGAGGGACCACCCCATGCGCACTCCCTGTGGCCCTGTGGCGTGGAGGAAGTGCCACGCCCCACGACCCTGAGACGAATAAGAGACCGCGGTGAGGGACCCCCCCCCCTGTGGTGTGGAGAAATTGCTACGCCTGCCAGGCCCCGCGACCCGGAGGCGAAAAGGGGCCGCGTTTATGGACCCCCCCCTGCGCCCCCCTGTAGTGTGAAGAACATGCATGCTGTGTATATGCGTGCTGTATGCGTGCTATATGTGCGCTGTGTGTATGTGTGCGGTCCGTGTCTGTGTGCGTTGCGTATATGTGTCGTGCGTGCACGGTTGTAGACGTGTGTTTCATACGGGCGTCGTGCTGCGTCAGACAGCACGTTCGTTTGTGTATGGTGCGCGCCCGGATTGGTGTGAGAAAGAGAAGGAGAGGGGGGAGGTGCGTGTGTGTGGGAGCGCAGATCCCATGTGACCCCATGTGGGTGGGAGGACCCACCAAGTAGGTGAGGCGTAGGCGTCGCGGGTGGGACGCGGCTGAGAAAAAAACATAAATCTACGAAACATGTGGGGAATATCAAGAGAGGGAGAGAGGAGGCAGAGAGAGAGAGAGAGAAAACAAAAAACAAAAAGAGAGAGGCGAGAGAGAGGGAGAGGGAAAGTTTGACAGTAGAATTGTGATGCGTTGCGAATGTTAGTAGGAAGCACACATGAGGTCAGGGAGTTGGCGGGAGAAGCACCTGCAGCAGGGCCGGAGGCGGCAGCAGGAGGCAGGGAAGGGCGTAGCAGGCGCAGGAGACAGGAAGGGCGATGGCATGGCTGCGTACAGCAAACCCTTGCGCGCTGGCTGGGGTGCCATCTCAGACATCCGAAAGTCGTCATTTCTGTTACAGAGGGAAGTCGTGGACGTCTGGACACCTTCCACGTAGCCGCATTTCGTCTTTAGCCGTTCTTTGACAGCCTTGGGACCCTGTAAGACCCCCCTGAGGCCAAGAGTCACCGAACATCTTCCGTTGTGATTTTTCAAAGCGCGAGGATGTCAGGGCGTGCGCCAAGTTCACGCCGTCCAGCACGGCCATCCTTGCGATGCATCTTCGGGGGATCTCGTCTGTCCTGTAAATTGCTGCATGTTTCCTTGTACCCGGGAGTTGACACGCGGATTCGACATAGATTCGACGTGGATTTGATTATTCACATGGATTCGACACGGATTCGACACGGATAGTGGCGCGATGGTACAGACAAGATTTTCTGAAGATGCAACGTTACCACCATTGGACAATGTCCACTGAAGATGCAACGTAACCATCATTGCAGCGTCCAGCTTGTAGCCGCCCTGGCTTTGGCAGCGAGCCTGGGGGGGGGGCAAGCGGAACCAGGCGCCGCGGAATTGGCGAGCCCGCGCACAAGGCCTGCAGCCGAAGTCCTGTGGACCGGAAGGCAGAAACACCGCAGGAGCATAAACTCAAGCAGTGGCGAGGCGCCTTGGCTTGTCAGTAGGACCACCAGGGAATGTTCCAAGCACCTTTGAGGTTCGCACGACATGTTCTTCGAACAGTTCTGGCTGGGGCTGTCTTGTTTTCACACATCGGCTTGATGTTCTAAGAACATTGGTTCTGTTCTTATCGTATTTTGGGGGTTCTACGAAGATTCCGTGGTATAGACTCATGGGAATGCCGGGGCGGTCGACCCTTGCTCGATAAGCCCAGACCTCCGACGATACGATTCCTTCTGACCCAGGTGTGTTTCCTCGGTGTCGGCGTCGGGGGCCCGCAGCCGGGCCCCAGGACAGTCAGCATCAGATCCGGGGCGCGAGACTTGACCCCCGGGGGGCAGGGTCCAGACCTGGGCCACGGACTGGTCGTGGCGAGGGGGCCGAACGCTCCTTCACTGTCCCCGTCTTCAGGCGATCGCAGACATGGATCAAGGGGGCGTGGATCCGCGACGGGTCCCGCTTCCGTGGGAAATCGCGGATTCCCGCCACGGCGCGAATGATGCTCTCTTGCTGTCGTCGTCAGCCGCGACCCGCCCGCGATCCACCCAGCGACCCACCCAGCGACCCACCCTGCGACCCACCCACACCCGTCCCACACGCGACCCAAACTCGACACCCACATTGCTTTGACGAAGATTCGGCGCCTGGGGCCGGCTCGTTGTGTAGTTTTCACACACCAAGAAGTCGGCGGAGGACGGGGCGGAGGACGGGACGGGGCTGGTCGGCGGCCACCAGTGCTGCGCCTGCGGGCGCCGGGCCGAGAAACAGATGGCGCCCTGGGCACTCCCCGGCCTCGGTGGCCAGAGGGCCCCGGGCGGAATCCTCGTCGACCTCGTCCTCCGCCCCGTCCTCGCAGACTGCCGACGGCCCCGCCGCCCCACAGCTCTTGTCCGCAACTGCGGGGGGGGGGAAGGCGACGGGAAGTCCTGTCGGCGGAGGTCTGGGTCCGCGCGGTTCTCCGGGGTCGGCGCGTGGGTCTCCTCCCCGCACCGCACTCCTGGGCGGTCCTTCCGGGTCGGAGGCCTGTAACGGTGGGCATCAACACCAACATCGGTGGTGTGCTTCCATCAAGGGAAGGTGATCCCGATCTCGGTGGCGGTGTCAATGTTCGGGCTTCCTAGGTGACCCGTAGCATCACCACCAACGCAAGAATCTAGGATCATCTTCCCCCAGTGGAGGCACCCCCCTGTGTTGGTGCGGTGCCCATTTCCAGGCCTCCAACCGGGGCCACCCTTGACGCGCCCCGCGCACCTGGAAAAGTGTACGGAGGTCCAGCGGCGACCTAGGACATCCGCGCGGACCTCCGAAAGCGTACGTTCGTGTCGTGTGTTTCTTGTTCTCCTGTGGGGAGCACACGTTCTATGGGAGGAGACGACGACAACCCCAAGCGAAGCAAAGTGTTAGCTGTCGCTGCATCCATCTTGCTGTTCATCCTCGCGGGCCCCCTGCTCGTCATCGTGAACAAGAAGATACTGCGTGACAATGGCCTGCACCTTCCGGCGTTTGTCTCCGCCATGGGCATCCTCTTCACATCGATATTCACGCACTGTGCAGTCGCGTGCGGGTACGTGACAGTGAAAGATAACGAGCACGGTATGTGGAGGCTGCTTCCCGTGGGCCTCAGCTCCGCTGGGACTTTCATGTTCGGAAACATGGCCTACGTGTACCTAGATGCTGGGTTTATACAGATGCTCAAAGCTGGAACTCCAGCGCTGCTCATGATGATGCTGGCTGCGTTTAAGGTGGAGAAGATTTCGATGCAGTCTGGTGGTTTTATCATCCTCATGGTAGTTGGTGGCATGGTGTCTGCGCAGGCCTCCCCAACACTAAGCATCCTGGGGCTGGGTATCATGCTTCTCTCCGAGATCTTTGAAGGCGCCCGCTGCGTCGTCACGCAGCTGTTCCTCCAGAAGCTCAACTTCTCTGTGTGGGACGCTGGTTACCACATGGCCCCACTCACTGCCGCCTGCTGCCTGCTATTGTCGGCCGCTACCGAATGGCCAGTTCTCATCAGGGATGGCAACTTTCCGTTGTTCACGAGCCAGTTGCCACTCTTGTTTGTCAGCGGCTGCATCGGCATCGCTGTGAATTTCGCCTCGTTCCTTGTTATAAAATTAACCTCCAGCCTCTTGACGAAGCTGCTCGTGGCAGCCAGGAACGCTGGGCTCGTATTGTTTTTCATCGCGGGCGGGGAGCCAGTATCACGCACCCAGATGATAGGCTACGGGATAACACTGGTTGCTTTCACGGGCTACTCCGTCGAGAAGGTGTTGGCGGGGCAGCGACTCAAGAAGTTGTCGCCGTCTGGCGAGAAGAGCCCTGTCTAAACGAGTGTAAAGACATCGATTTTGTGGCGTGCCTTGCTTCAGAAGCCGCAGACGTGCTTTCTCCATGAGGCCAACAGTGAGGTTCCTCGTGGCGACGGCAGAAGCCGTACACGCGTGTTTTCCATGAGACCCAGCGGCGAAGACATCATTCGACCATTTGCCACTGCTTCAAAGGCCGCCCCAGCCGAGGCTTCTTTCTAGAAAAAAGTGTGTTCTGGCATTGCACGCCGCTTGTCCACTGTTTCATATTCGTTTTATCCATTCAGCCCCTATCCTTCTATTCAGATTGTTCTAGAGCGTCAGCTCTGGACGTGTGCGTCATCGTCCTAATCTTCTGATTCATCCCACAGGGGGCACGCGAAAAACCGTTCTGGTCTGCCAGCAGACGCACCACAACGATCACTCTGGCCTCCCCGGACCCACTCGACTCGACTGGAGTCCCGGAGGCACCCCGCGAAGCTCAGAGGTCGACGAGCAATTGCGCTCCAACGTGCCAGGTCCAGTCCCCCCATGGCCCGCACCTCCCGAGCCCGGTGCTCGTGCCTACCCGCCGCCGGGGGACCCGGTGGATGCCAGGCGGTGCCAGCTGTGGGCAGCGTTGGTTGCCCCCCCGCCGCCGTGAGGCCCGAGGGTGTCCACACTCACGGCCTCCCGAGGTCCGGGGACGCCCTTGCCCTGGGAGGTGGACATGTTCAGGCTTAAGCTGGGCCTGTCCCTCTAGAGGGGGGACATTCAAAAATAGTTTAAAAAAATAGCCTGGGGACTATTTTTTGACGATTGTTGAGCATGTTTTGAGTTGTTTCCCCTCCTCCAAAAAAAACGATGCCGCCCAAATTCCTCCTGTAGGGAGACAGGCCCGACCTAAGTTTAGGCTTCCTGGATGGGGTCGGCGTAGATGGGGTCGGAGGATCGCGCCGCATCGCCGATGCATCGGCGAGCCGGCGCGATGCGGGGCCCGATTTTCTCAGCGCCGACGTCGCCGACGCATCGCCGACGTCTCGGCCGCAGAGTGGGCAGCCGAAGGAGCTCAGACACGATGGTCGTCCTGGGGCCCAGGCCCTGAGATCCTCGAATGACGCCAGCGATGACCCGAAGCCTGGATCTTCTGCCCTCGAACCTGGAGGCAACCAAACTTGAGACTGAGGAGATGAGGCTGTAGGATCGCACCGCATCGCCGATGCATTGGCCACGCCGGGGTGGAGAGAATCGGCCTACGGCGATGCGGCGCGACCCTCCGACCCCATCTACTCCGACCCTATCCAGGATCGGCGGCGAGCGAGGGGGGGAAGTGAGCAGGGGCGGGCCTTCTCAGAAGGCTCGGAAGTCCCCTGGATTTCTCCTAATTCTTCTAAGCCTTCCCCGGAGACGCAAAACACCTCTCAGAAGGCCGGAGGCCTCCTCAGAAGCCCCGCCGCCTCCCGAGAAGGCCTTCTCCTTCTCATGTCCCACCCCCGCTCGCCGCCGGTAGGGGGCCTCCAGCTCTGTGTGCGGTAAAGGCTCGCGCCGCGTCGCCCCGGTGCGGGCGTTCAGGGCTCCACGCCGCCAGGGGCCCCGAAGTCGGCGGATTCAGGAGGGGAAAAAACACACAGACACAATTAATCGTCGATTCCCCAGAAAGTATAGGAAAATATGGGAAGTGGGGGGGAAGACAAAAACCCCAAAAATATGGGAACATATAGGGAATCCTTTTATTTGTGTGTATTTATTTGTGTGTCCTGGGGCCCCTTGGCGGATGGCGGGCGCTCTGCCCCATCGGAGGGCCGCGATCGTTCCAAAGGCGGAGCGGCCCGCGCGGCGCCCGAGACCCACGCCCGCGACGCCGCGGCGCGGACGGGCCGTACAAGCCCGGGCCCGGCATGCAGTGGAGGCCCATGCCAAGAAGCACCCCGCTCTCCTCCTCCTCCTCCTCCTCCTCCTCCTCCTCCCCTCTCTCCTCCTCCTCCTCCTCCTCCCCCTCCGCCTCCTCCTCCTCTCCTCCTCCTCATTTCTCCTCATCCTCCTCCGCCTCCTCCTCCTCCTCCCTCCTCCTCACTCCTCATCCCCTCATCCTCATCCTCCTCTCCTCTCCTCCTCTCTCCCCCCCGTCCCTCCTCCTCCCTCCCCTCCTCCTCCTCCTCCTCCTCCTCCTCCTCCTCCTCCTCTTCCAGGGTGCCCTGGGTTTCTTGGGCTTCGACGGTCTTGCGATGGAAAAGCGTGACGCGCCCGCACCAAATTATTCACTGCGTGGGGATCCCCATATGTGCATCTCCTTGCTGGCGCTCCCTTGGTGGTGGGACTCGGTGAGGACGAATCTGGATTTAAGTGTGACTGAGCTGCCTCTCTCTCTGCTCTCTCTGCTCTCTCTGTCTCTCTCTCTCTCTCTGCCCTCTCTCTCTGTCTTTGCCTCTCTTTCCCTGCCTCTCTCTCTCTCTGCCTCTCTCTCTGCCTCTGTCTCTCTGCCTCTCTCTCTCTCTCTGCCTCTCTCTCTGTGCCTCTCTCTCTGCCTCTATATCTGCCTCTCTCTCTCTCTCTCTCTCTCTCCTCTCTCTCTTCTCTCTATTCTCTCTCTGCTCTCTCCTCTCTCTCTCACTCTCCCTCTCTCTCTCTCTCGCTCTCTCTCTTCTCTTCTCTTCTCTTCTCTGCTCTCTCTCTCTCTATCTCTCTCTCTCTCTCTTTCTCTCTCTCTATCTCTCTCTCTCTCTCTCTTCAGTCTCGGCTCGAGAGTGCCCTGCACTCAGACCGCAGCCGCGACGCGAAGCGCCCCGCCTCGGAGTCAGACTCCCAGGCCTCGCGAGACCGGAGGGGTCCCAGCAGGACCCTACTGATTCGCGCCACCTCTCCCCCCACCAGAGCGCCCGCCGCAATGGCCCCCGGCAAGCCGGAGCGCCGTCGCTCTTCCAAGCAGCCGCCGAGCTCACGTCCTGCTGCTGAAGGGTCTCTCCTCCAACGCAAGCAGGACTGCATAGCAGCTTTCAAGCAAGCGGGGTCTGACCGCCCCACGGCCGCATACAACGGGCTTGCCGAGCTGAACGCGGACGAGCTTCAGGCCACGTACGACATGCACAAGACCAACACAAAGAAGCTCGGCAGTGCCTTGATCTGCATGTGTGCCGCCAACCAGATCAGCTACACGCTGGATCACCACCAGCGCAGCAAGCCTAAGCGCATTGGTGGTGACACATCACACCCACCAGCTGCGTCCGCACGTCTTCAGGCTGCGGACGCCAAATTCATTGCCTTGGACCCGGCCTTCTGGAAGGTCCCAGTCCTTGCCGAACCCACATCACTCGACGACGGCAAGACGTACAAGCCCAGTATCAGCCTCCACGACTACGAGAGCGGTGAACGGCTGCTGCAACACCACCTCGAGCAGGGTAAGCGTACCACGGGTCAGCTTGCGATTGCTGTCATGGGCCCAAAAAACGATAACTACGTCGGTACCGAGCTCGCAGTCCCCGTGCTGAAGCGTCACCCCAAGGCGCCCAAAGTGGTTCACACGCACGTCCCCGTGACCGTGTACCAGCTGGGCACCAAGGAAGTCGCCTGCACGGAAAAAGTAGCCGTAGCCACTATCGATCCTGCCGACCACGTATGCTGGATTCGGGTGACCATACATGAAACCGAAGCCATCGCCGCAGTCCCCTCCATGCATCAGGCCTTCGAGGATCAGTTCTCGGGAGGGTCCCCCGTGAACGGTGGTCCACGCGCCAAGGGTTCTTTCCGAAGGGACTCCGCTCCACAGGACAAGGCGCGCCAAAACCAAAAGCACAGGGAGTCCAAGAAAGACGCTCGCCGTCAGGAGCTCGATAGTCAGCTCCAGGACACCTTCAAGGCCCTCTTCCACGGCAACTTTAAAGCCGTCACCATCCTCGAACCCTGCAAAAGCCTAGGCAGGTATGGATCGGGCGTCGGAAATAGGTCCCTGGCTGCCACCTTCGGCGTCAGTCTTCAAGCGGTTGACAAGGTCTTGGCGGGTTCAGGGCAACTCGGCGCCACCTACGACCTCAGCAACGTAGGTGCAGACGAGCCCACTGCAGACAAGTACCAGACCGTGTGGTTCCCTGAGGACCAGCCCATCACGATGGCCGATGCGTTCCAGAAGTCGGTGGACTTCAAGGCCCTAGGAGTCGTCAGGCACGGCAAGTCAGGCTTATTGGGGATCCGTGTTGCACGAGGATCAGACGCCGCCAAGGCTGCTGCCGTCAGCATCCGTGGCTGCGAAGCCACCCTCGCCAAGACGCGATACCGCATCACTGGCATTGCGGCACGCCTCGCCACGCTGACCCAGCTTGCTAAGACTCTCACGGGCCCGTCCGTCAAATGGGACTGTGAGGTCTACCACACCGCCTGGGACCCAGCCACTTCGGCTCAGTTTGCCTTAGTGCGCGCCATCGTCCCCCACCCACATATACGGTACAGGTCGCAGGGTGCCCCATCCCGTGGAGCATCACCGAGGCCCCGTTGGCTGAGGTGGTGCCGAAGAGGGACCACGTTACCATTGTCACCCCTACCACTATCACAGAGCCTGTGACGCCGCCAGCCCGTGGTGGCGGCTTCAGCCCCGCCACGGGCACACTCCTAACCAAAGCGGCCCAGAGCCCTTACCTCCACGACCTCATGACTGCCACGCCCAAAGGCAAGGGCGTCGCACCGCTCCTGGTCCCCAAGGAGGAGCCTCTAGCCAAGCGCCACCGATCCTCCAGTGGGAAACGCGACGCCACGCCGCACGCAAGATCACACGGCGCCCCAGGCCGCAGCTCCTCTGCACCCCCGCACGGCACGGATGGAGCTGCCGAGCAGACGGCCGTCCAAGGACCAGGTGGTCATGACCCGCAACTTGGCACGGCGGCGGCTGAAGGCGGGGGCCACACGGAAGGGGGCGCTGCCACAGCCGCCGAGGTACCAGGCGACGCTGACGACGTCGAGATCCTCTCATCAGGGGATGAATTCAGCGTGGCATCTCGCGAACTGAACACCCTCGGCGAACGCTTCGCAACGGCCCCTAAACTGTCAGATGCCGCACGACCCGCATCCAACACATGGAACAACAGCACGAGCTGCTTGCCAACACGGTGGATAACATGCAGGTTCAGCTTGCGGGCGTTCTCTCATCCCAGGCCACACTCACGGAGCACGTTTCAGGTTTGGAACGAGGGCTCGCCACCGTCGTCACCCAGCAACAGACGGCAACCACCGAAGCTGCTGCACTGCGTGGCGACATCCAGGCCCTCCTCGGGCACCTCACGGGGGGCACCATCCACCTGCCACAGGTGGCCACTCTCGAAACAAAAAAGGAGGAAGCTGCATCAGTTGCCGATCCCGTGGCTGTCTGCGGGTGGATTGACCAGCCAGGCCAGG